CGTCAGTGCAGGGAGTGATCAAGGCCTAAATGAGGAAGAAAACCATTTTGAGTTGTACCTGTTTCCAGAATGAGTACCATGTTGGGGTTGTCCTTGCTCAGCCCTTTACTGAGCTCTTCTTAGAAATACACTAGTATTGATGAAGGAATGAAAAAGAGTCAAAATCCCTTGGCACGTAAAGAAGAAACAAAATACTGTGCTTCCTTTTCAAAGCTAAAACAATCATCAGGTAGCCTAGGAATCATACCCCAGCTTATGCTTTGAGTAAGATACCTCATGCTGACAGGAGCTCCCAAATTTCTTGACCTTTGACTCTGTATTGGCATCACACATTCTTTGCTATCCACAATGCACTATTATCAGCAGCTTTTTTATGAAAAGCGTTTTGCAAGTATCATTTCCAGCTGCTTACCATGAACCATGCATGGTTTGTACACTACTAGCTGGGAAGTGATAATGTAGCCAGGAGTGCTTGTTGTAAAAAGCACACTCATAGCATGTTTATTGCCAATTGCAACACAAAATCTGGAGTCTGAACACACACTGAAACTCTGCTGTGTTATTTTCACTTGTGGGGAATATGTTGCAGATTAGTGGTGAGGCAAACTGGTAGGAAGTTTAAATAATCTTTGATAAACCTACACCTCCTATTTAAAATACAGAGACTCTAGATTAGTACATGTAAGATATAGTAATGTAACAGCTCTCAGATGTCAAGAATATTAGAAGAAAATACACGTCTGACCACAGACAGAGAAGAAAGCCTCCAATATGTGTTCCTTCTTTGGCAATGTTATACATGTTAGGCAGTGGGAGTACACTCTGTTTTACCTAAATGAAATCACATAAGGAATTTTAAGCTGAATATTATGACTCCGTTGGAACTGAGGATCCAGGTAGTTACAGAATTTGTGATTCTAATTATTTTATATGGATGAAACCAGTGCGTTGACAGTGTGCAAACAAACTCTTGCTAAGCAGACAGCAATGTTTTGAAAATAAATAGCAAACAAAAGGGACCAGATTATTTGGGTTACTGAAAATGTTTTTGCAACTGATAATTGTCCCTCAAGGAAGAAAATACCAGCAGTGACTGTTAGCAGTGTTTTATGTCTAACACCACAGTTTATGACAGAGCAGTGCTACAAAGCAAAAATTATGCATCCCCAGAGCTAAAGAGAAACAAAGGTACGCTTTACTTAGCTAGGTGTTGTTAAATGCCCACAGAACTAGAAGTAGACTCAATAAATTGTGACCTTTTCATGGAAGGAATGCAAAGTGTTTCCAGAAAGATAAGGATTCATAAGATAGTCAGTCCTCTTTTCTGAATCCATGCTTAGCTGTACTGTCAGGTACTGTTTTTAGGAAAGTATAGGATAACGGTAATGTGTAGACAGCGGTAAAGTGGTTTTGCCACCCATGTTTTTTCAGTTTTTAAAAAAAATTGAAACCTTTTGGTTTAACCTGTTGTTAAGGAGAAGGTGGGAAGATGCTTCTCCAAGGGAAAAAACCAGAGACATTGTGTGAGACAATAGTGGCAAGGAATACAGTAAGTCAAAACATGGAAAAGCTCTCCAAAAGCAAATGGACTACTTTTAAGTAGGAAAGGAAGTTTTTGATGTTGTGTAGTGATCTTGACCTAAGGCTGCTGCAGTGGGGCATCTTATTTACTTCCTATCAGATGGAAAGGCATATTATCGTGGCCATTCTATTGCATTTCTCCACAGTCTGTTTATTTGCACTTTCTCAATGCTTTTCGAAGACTTTGAAAAATAATCCTTTTCACTGAAGTTTTCTTATATCTTGTCTTTTAAATGTGTTCTGTCTATTACAATGGAAACATTGGGACCTTTGGTTCTTAAAAATGTACCTGCTTGGCTCTATCTTTGCTTCTGCCACTGCTCCTTGTCGAGATAAAGTTACAGTCTTGCATTTATCCCAGTTTTATACAATAAAATGTCTTCTCCTTGAGGAATCTAAGTACATAAAATTACTTATGAAAGAATTAGAAATAAATATCCTTGGAAACATCATGATTTTTTTACATTCTGGGTATGTTTTGTGAATTTTGATTGATCATCTTAATATTTCTTTTTTTTTTTTAAACCACAAGCATTGTGATGATAGCTCTCAGATTTCCCATGTATTAACACTTTATGGCACTGATGCTGAAAGCTTTTCTTCGAGGATGGTTGTCTGATCTGTAGAGGACTCCACCAGACGCACTGTGACTCTAATACCTGTAGGACTCAACCCAAGCAAAGGAAATTTCAGAGACAGAAATATAATCTATAAACAAGCAAGGAATCCAAGCAATTTTCTGAATATAATACACACATCCATTTGTACAATTGTAGATAAAATACTACATTTCCAAAAACTTTTCAGGAGAGCAAGAGAAGAAGGTATCTTCATATCTACATGAACCTTTAGCCTGAATAGTGTGTTACTTGACAACATGTATTATGGAACAGTGCTATTAATTCAGCACGATAGAAAAATTACTATTAAACAAGAATAAAGAGTAAACATGAATAACAACACTGCCAATAGATACAATCAGTCTTTTGTCAGACAATATGTTAAGTATTTCTATAACAAACACAACTGAAATCTTCAGCCTCGGTTGTAATTAGGCTCCTTTCCAAAAGTAATCCATTAATACAATAGCTGCCCAAATCCCAGTTCAACTTAATTTCACTGACTTTGATTTTTGGACCAAAAGCATTAGGCTTGAACTAGTGAAAAATGTACAAAATGTGCATTCAATTAAGGAGTAATTATATACTCAATCACTGTTACATCACACTAGGGATTATCCAAGAAAGAAGAGAGATACTATTCTCTGCAGTGTATAAAACAGTTTTGTTAATTAGTTTAGCACTAATTGAGATTGAGAAAGTGTCATTGTGTCACAGCATTAGTTTGCCTACGCAGAACCTTAAGAACACAAAGTTTTTTTGGTTATTTTGAGCTTACTTGCTCAGATTTTTCAGCCTAATTCTCTGATCCAGTATCTTCTGTCCATGCAAAAGGAACCTTTCTGTTCACTTCAGGGAGGGGGTTGGTCCCTGCACGCTCGTATCAGTAGCCCATGGAAAAGCACGCAAAGAGTTTTTCCAGAGACGGAGAATAACTTGCTCTTATCACATGGAGGTTTTTTTATGTTACATCTTTGTACCAAACCCCAGGAAGAACTGGGAATCCTCTGTGCTGTTACATAAAGTGTAGCCGTGGCTAAAAGCAGCTGCTCTTTGAAGGACTTACAGCCTCTCTTAGAAGGCAGCTGGTAGAAAGTGCTTCAAGTTGACCATCAAATGATCCTGCTGCTAGACACCATGAGTTTTGGGGGTACTGGATGATAACCAGGGAGCACATGGAGATCACAGCACAGATTGTCTCTTGGGTAGACACTGACTTTTTAAGAGCAATGCTGGTGACTGACAGCCTCTGCACACCCTTCCTCTTTAAGAAAAGAATTGGGGCAATACCAAGGACAAATACAGGCTGGGTAGGGGAGGATGGATTGAGAGCAGCCCTGAGGAGAGGCCTTGGGGTGTTGGTTGACAAGATGCTCAACATGAACCAGTGATGTGTGCTTGCAGCCCAGCAGGTCAACCTTATCCTGGGCTGCATCACAAGAAGTGTGGCCAGCAGATCAAGAGAGGTGATTCTGCCCCTCTACTCTGCTCTGGTGAGACCCCATCTGAAGCTCTGGGGACCCCAGTGTAAGAATGACATGGACCTGTTGAAGTGAGTCCAGAGGAGGGCCGCGAAGACAATCGGGGGCTGCAGCACCTTTCCTATGGGGACAGGCTGAGAGAGTTGGGGTTGTTCAGCCCGGAGAAGAAAAGGCTCTGGGGAGACCTTATGGCAGCCTTCCAGCACTTAAAAGGCCTACGGTAAAGATGGAGAGAGACTCTTTATCAGGGACTGTAGTGATAGGATGAGGGGTAATGGTTTTAAACTGAAAAAGGGTAGATTTAGATTAGATCTTAGGAAGAAATTCTTTACTGTGAGGGTGGTGAGACAGAGGAACAGGTTGCCCAGAGAACTTCCCAACCCTGGAAGTGTTCAAGGCCAGGTTGGATGGGGCTTTTGAGCAAGCCGGTCTAGTGGGAGGTGTCCCTGCCCATGGCAGGGAGGTTGGAACTAGATGATCTGTAAGGTCTTCTCCAATCCAAACCTTTCTATGGTTCTATGAAAAAGAGTGGGAACTCTTCTAGATAGGTGTTGACCTGCAATTGTAGCCCTAGGTGAACATTTGCATCCAAGCATTTAGGGATTTTTTGTGTTTATGTACTGAGCTGTAGTTGGCCTCAAGATAATCTCAGGAAAAAATGAGATTCTTAGTACAACAGAATGAAATGATTCAGCACTCTCATACCTGCCACTTCTGAACTGAGAAGCTCTGGGGCAACCTGAGCAGCTGATTTCCTAAGGGTATGCTGAATATCATGAATATGTGTTTGCATGAAACCAGGTATTGATTTATCTCTTCTGCTAATGAATATTAGTGCTATTAGGAGGGACAAATCAAGTGATTGCTTTCTATCTCCTGAGCCTACCTAACTCCCATGAGATCTGTGTACTCAGAAGTTCATTTGGTAGGGCTTCTTAAATGGTAAATGATAAAATTTTCTCTGTGACTAGTATATTTTCCCTTCTAGTTTACTGCCATGCTCTCCACATTAGAATCAATCACCTGACTGATTCAGAAAGCCAATTGTAAAGATCTGTTTCAAGTTAATAATTTTACCACTGCATTTAACTTACTGCCATTTCCTCCCTTGTTAGTAAATCTTCCAGCAATGGCTTTGCCCTAAAAGTGAAGAATCAGGACCATTATGTTACTGAAGTGTATACCCTGAAACTGCCCCCACCTGCTGTCACAAAATCCCTGCTTTTAGTTTTCCCTGTCTCCCTGACTGGACATAAACAGTCTTTCAGACCCACTGCGGAGGAATTTCAGTAACATAATTGTTCCATTCTCTTTTCAGAGAGGAGGAAGACAATGCTCCCACAGTGCCCTCGCATGAGAAATGGAAACTTTTGAGGCTGCTGCTTCAGTTGAACCACAAAGCCTGTATTGTTTGTCTTCATCTAATTCAGCCTTGATAGACAGCTGTGAGAGTTGGTCTGTCCACATGGTTCAGTGAAATTCTGGGAATGGAGTTGTACGTTAAAAGAAGGAAACACACTAAATCTTCCAGGTCACACTGTTAACTATTTTTAAATGGTAATTATTATATTGCTTATATAGTTTCTTTGCCATAGCATTCAATAGTTGTCCATAATCCAAATAGTACTAATTTTAAACTTGGTATGAATGTTAATATGTAGAAATACTCATTATCTTTTTGAATGTTAGATTTCATTTTATTCTGTATCATCTTTTGTGCTGTAAGTAACCATCTTTTCTGTAGAGAGAAAGTGCACTCCATAAAGCTAATAAATACATTGTTGTTCACAGAGATTATTATACAACTTCAGAATTAATTTTTAGGCAGAAAGGAGCACCGCTCTGCCAAACCTCTGCACTTAGCATGGTTTGTCTGAATAAAGCCGAATGACATTTGCATTATTAGGAGCCTTACTGAAATAAAGGACAATTTTGAAATAAGGAACATTAACTGGTATAAAAATAAACAGAATCATCTGGATTATTTTCTACTTGGGGAGTCATGGAACTTTGCAAAGTAATGTTCAATTCAGGCAGAAAATGATCGGTCTTTGTTCTCCTGTGAATTATGACAGTTCCATTTATTCTGTACATTGCTGAGGGTGGTGCTCTGATGACCTGCTCTGCATGTCCTGAGCTCACTGCACAGCATGGGGATTGCCACGCTGGGCCACACATGACCTGTCTGACAGAACAGATAAGGGAATGGTGATCTGAGCCAGCTGGTCAAGCTCATAGCTTCTGATTCCTGCAGAAGACCAAAATCTGAAGAACAGAGTCAGTAATGTGGTGGGCAATAGCTTTGATCACCACAGCTATCAGTGAGGTCCACTTTACCAGCATGAGGAGGGTAGGTTTGTCCAGAGACCTATGTAAGTGGAAGAACACTGGAGGCACAGCAAACTCCAGGCAGGCCCACAATGGAGGTACAAACAGAAGGTTCACAGAAGGGAGGAGGCTCCCTTGAAGCAGATCTGTGGGTCATCAATCACAGAGTCTTCACCAGGCAATGGTAAATGCAGTGTCAGAAGGCATGCTCAACCCACCTCGTCAGGGGCTATGGGGAGAGCTGCTGCTGAATAATGAGTTACGAATTCTTTGAGTCATTTATATAGGGGACAGCAGAAACAATAGGTGAAACCTACACAGCAGATGTGAGCTAGGTGAAGGGGAGTGACTACTGCTGACTACTTCATATGTTTGTACCTGCGTGTACTGCAGAAACATGTGCTCTCCTTTGAAGAGACACACAGCTGCTCTTGACAGCATATATTGCAATAAATGTGTAAAAAATGTACAGCAAGCAGCCTACCATAAAGTCATCTGTTTATTTCGGGCTTAGCAGAGTAGCAATTTGCAAATTGCTCCTTGGGCCTATAGAGACTTGTATTTCTTAGGTTTATGTTTAAGGAAGTCCTTCTACAACTTCTTCCCAAATTTAGTGAAATATAACCCCATTATCTAGTCCAGGGGTTCAAGATTCCATCTGCAACATCCCCAGCACTTCCATAATGTTCATGTAGGATCTTCACTGGCTGCTGCCCCTCTGCCTTCAGCAGTGACTCCCCAAGCAGCTGCTGCCATAGCCCAACCCCAACACACCGGTCACCAGGGCCTGGAGTTTCAGTGGCCCACATCTTGCTGTAGGTCAGGGAGGAGTCTCTCCATAAAGTCTGCTGCAATGGCTTGCTGTGTCTAGGCTGGACTGGCTCATATTTTGGACAGAAACCTAATAATTTCTTCTTGTTGTCAGGCTTGGCACTAACATCTTGAAAAAAAGACCAACCCAAAACAAAGCCTTGCAAGGTGGAAGTCAAATGATTTCTGCCAACTGAAGACCTATTCCTATCTCCTTGCACCCAGCAATAAAGGAACCCTCCAAAAGTAGAGTGAACCATGTTCCAAACCTGGCAATTCCCAGGTTATAGGCACAGCTTATTTGGAAGATCTTTACCCTTTGCACACAAAATATTATTAACTACTGAGTATTAACTGAGAGGAACTGTAATATTAATATGGCAAATATTGACATTATGATGAAATCTGAACTAGATTTATTCTCTAAATAAACGTGTTCCTTATCTTGGAGCTGGCTGATATTATTCTGGCCATGAAATAGAGATACATTGCAAAGCAAATGATGTAATGTCTCCACTGAAAAATTGAAGTCCATTATTTCCCTTTCCTGTGCTCCCTTCCTGTGTTTGCTGTTCTTTCCTGCATTGCCTTGTGCAGTGAACTTCTAGTTGTATAAATACTACTACTGAGCAACTGAGGTTAGTAAATTTGTCTCAACATTTGTCAGACTTGTTTGGTTTGTTTAGGCTTGGCTTTGAAAGAGAAAAAAACCCACATGTAAAAATGCTTATAACTATATTTTGTCTTTAGAACTAGATCTAGTTATAACAAAAAATTCATTCACAAACCCTACCCATTCTAATTACAGATTGAGCAACCCACATTTGTGGTGTGTTGGAAAAAAATTAGTCTTTCTGGTTTTGGTAAGAATCTGTGGGGAGGAATTTGCAGGTAGGACTCTGTGTATTACTTCAGCTGTAGTGTACCCAAGAGAGGTTTTATTGAGTGTGGTGAGGCTCTGCTACTCTCCAGTTAAAGTTCCACATGCCTGCCTTTGTATTGACATTTTTAAGAAATTGTAAAAACTGATAAAGGTGTTCTAAGGGTAGTGTAAGGCCTTAAATTACTAATTTCCTCTTCAAGCCTACAGCTGCTAAAATTCTTCTGATTCAGATTGCTATCTGCACTGGAAGTACTTTTAAAGGTAAGTATTAATGTGCGTGATGCTTCACATAATTTTAAAGATTTATTAGAAATGTGAATTATAAATTTCCAAGAGGTGTTGAGCAGTTGCACACTTGTTGATCAAGAAATTAATGTCATAATACTTAAAAGCAGCTATGTGCCTCATGAGGCAAAAGCTGGCTCTGCAAACTTTAGGTAGGTATTGGGAATGAGAAGAAATCCAGGTCTTGGGAGAATTCAGGCGAGTTGGGGCAGGATGTCTGCTGCTGCTGACCTTCCCTCTGCAGGTGATGCGTACTTTGGGATCTTCTGGTTTTTTTTTCTGGAGCTCCCAGGAAAACTTAAGAGTCCTCAAACTCTTAGCTTGACTTCAGACTGTGGTGTGATGCACTTTGCACCCTAGACTGTAACCTGAGCTCCTGCCTGTTGAGATCAGAGGAGACTCTTAGCACCTTGCCTTCCTACATCTGCCTTTTGCCCTGGCTCCCAGGTTGGCTTTTTGTTTGTTTTTGTGAAAATCAAGGCATAGATGAAGCAATAATGAATACTAGGTCTGTTCCCAAAATACCTCTGTGAGGTGACCAGGCATAAATTGGTGTGGGTTAAAGGAAGGACTGGATCCTAGACATTGCAGTGGCAAGCATGGTATGGTAGCTGTGTGTAGAAACAGGCATGAACTAGGACACTGAGTCTAAGAGGAGATAAGGGTGGGCCCTGGTCAGCATCCCTGTCTGTCCCTAAAGATAGATTTAGATTAGACATTAGGAAGAAATTCTTTGCTGCAAGGGTGATGAGACACAGGAACAGGTTGCCCAGGGAAGTTGTGGATGCCCCCTCCCTGGAACTGTTCAAGGCCAGGTTGGACAGGGCTTTGAGCAACCTGGTCTGGTGGGAGGTGTCCCTGCCCATGGCTGGGGGGTTGGCACTGGATGATCTTTAAGGTCCTTTCCAACCTAAACCATTCTTTGATTCTGTGATCACTGGTGTTCCTGAAGCCTAGAGGGTAGTTGAAGGCTACTGTTGCTGGAGCATTAAAAGTTCTTAACAACAGGGCAACAAAGAAAAAATAATTTTATTGACAAATTTCAGCTGAATTTTGCTGAGACTTGCAGAAGCAACGAGGAGGTGCAGATCCATGCACAGGCAGCTTCACAAGAAGTCATAGACATCAACGTTCTCCAGAACCAGGGTGCAGGTGCCATATGCTCAGTCTTGCCTTCATTGAGTTTAACTGGTAGGCACAGCACTGGTGCAGTAGTGGCCTTGTTCAAATTAATCCTTTCATGGTTCTCTCATCAACTCCAGTGAGAATGAAGAGAAGTTTCCTTCCTTATAGAAATGGGACAACTCTGTGGTGAATGAAGGCTCAGAGAAAAAGGGGAAAACCCTCTCTTAGGGTAGAGGACTGTGGAAAGAGGACAAATGTTGACCTGCCCTTTCCTCCTTGGCTGGGTTTACAGTGCCATTATCAGTCATGGAGTTAGCTTTGGGATGTGTTCTTCCTGTGTACACCAGCGCTGCCTGCTGAGATGTCAGACAGCTGGAGAACCATTCACCGCATCTCCTGAGACTGGACCATTCAGGATGTGTTTGGAGGTGTTTATACGCATGTTTATTTATGAAACTAACTGTCATTGCAAGGACATATCTCTGTGTGTATTTGTATCTTTAGAATGTAGAAAAATTGGCTTCAAATCAAGGACAATTTAAAGTTAATTTTAGGACTTCTAATTACAGCTAGTAAATTCCACTATGAAGACTCTGTGCCTAACATCAGTTCACCAGCACCGTACATATAGTGTTGGTATTTGTATGATGTATTTTCCCCTTTGCATAATGAACGTGGGTTAAAGTCCTGTCCCCCTCTCTTCCCCCCCATTATTCATTATTCAGCCTCAGGACTTGCTCTCAGGACACAATCATTCATTTTCTCAGCGGGCTTTCTCTCTTACAGTATTCATCTGAATGCTTCAGATGGATTAATGAACTTGACACTCACTTTGTAAATGCCTTCTGCCCTGCATCACCCGAGGAATATTCCTCTCTGATCACAGATTGGTTATTTGTCTGATGCCAGGCATAAGAGAAAGACACGGCAGTCAGCCATGTTAGAGACTCTTCATAGTGACCTGCAACTCTTGTGGCCCTTGTCCAGGAGAACTTGCTATGACCTTATCTACAAAGTTAAAAACCCAGCATTGATTCAGTAGTCAGGTCACCTCTTCAGTCTTCTCCCTGATAAATTTGCTGAGATGATGATTTCTATTGCAAGGTTTGTTTTTCAGTGCTGGATCATTTTTTGTGGCCCTTCTGACCAGTATATTCACATCCTTCTTAACCAGTGTTCTTACCATGCTGTGTACAGAGGCGGTGACAGCTCTTCATTTCTGATTGGTCTGCTTGGTCCCCAGAGCCTGACCCCATCTTGATTCAGTAAGGCCTTTCTCCTCTCCAAATATCAGGCAAAAACCTGAAGATCGGGATCTAAGAATGGGAAACATTTGATAAACTTGAAAAGAACTTGCCC